GTGCTGTGGCTCAAGTGGTAGAGTGCTCACCTTGAGCTGAAGAGCTGAAGGACAGCACCCAAGCCCAGAGTTCAAACCCCATGACCGACAGGAAAAAAACCCCAAAATCTCACAGACTTTTCTGCCCTGCCTGGCTTTCCATTGTGTTCTTTAGATCTCAGCCCCCTGAGTAGCTAGGACCATAGGTGTGTGCCACCAGTGGCCCAGTTCTGCTTTCCCTTTGTTAGCAGTTAGTTGTGGTATATATAGTTCAAATTCATACTTCAAAATGTTTTTCAACTTAGAAAGATAAGGGCTACAGTTACATAAGTCAGTTAGAGTACATTTCTTCCTTTTTTTTGGACAGTTGTGGGGCTTGAACTCTGGACCTGGGCTCTTTCCCTCAGCTTTTCAGCTCAAGGTTAGCACTCTACTACTTGAGCTCTTCTTTCAGTTTTTCTGGTGGCTTATTTGAGATAAGAGTCTCACCAACTTTCCTGCGCAGGCTGGCTTTGAACCATGATCCTCAGATCTCAGCCTCCTGAGTAACTAGAATTACAGGCATGAGCCACATGCACCAGGCTAAGAGTACAGTTCTTTTTAGACAATGTCACCCCATCCTTTAGCCTTGTTTAGAGTGAGTCTAGTGTAGCCTTCAATCTTAAGAACTAGTTTATCTTTACTGCTGAGCCCTGATTCTTCTGAATTCACTCTTAGTCCTTAGATGTTCAATGAAGTCTGTTTACTTTGGTTGTTTAGAAACCAGATGTTTCAGCCTAGCTTGAGCTCTGTGAATTCTGTTGTATACTACTTACGCCAGTTCTTCTCCACACTGTGTGGCATTACCAAGTGCTTGAACAGTGTATTATACAGATAAAGACAGAAGGGCCCATCTGTAGATTCTTGGAATATTTTACTTGTATAGCTTCATCCTCTGAAGTTTTCTGACTGACTTATATTGCCTGTGATTGTTCTGTTCTCTTAAGGTTCTCCTCTGTGTGCTGGGGTTTAGAACTTTTTGTCCATTGTCTAAAAATAGTTCCTTCTATTTTGTCTGGTTTTCTAGTTTCTGTGTAGGAATGCAAGTATAATATCAGCTTATTTATAGTATTTGAAAGCAAAAATTCTCTCCATAATAGAGTGTTTGATATAAAAAAGTTAAATTACCTGATGTAGTAGTTGATCTAGTATAAGATTTTTAAAGGAAAACAGAACTGATTATTTTTGAAACATACTCATCTTTGTAATGTCTATTGATTCCCTTATTAATAATCAGCATAGTCTTCTAGGACAAAGTTGAGCTACAATTTACCAACAGTAAAACTTTTTTTTTTGCAGTATGACTTTGTGTTGAGAAATAAGTTATGTTTATACTATATAATCACAGTATATTGTGAAATACAGATACAGAATATTTCCTGTAGTTATTTGACTCACTGAGATAGAAGAATATTTTTCTTACTTGAGGGAGTTCCTTCATGCCAGTTTACTATGTGTAGATCAATACTTTTTTTTTCTTTTGCCAGTCCTGAGGCTTGAACTCAGGACTTGAATGCTGTCCCTGACCCTTTTTGTACTCAAGGCTAGTGCTCCACCACTTACTTGAGCCACAGCACTATTTCCTGATTTTTTTGAAAAGTTTATTGGAGATTAGAATCTCGTGGACTATCCTGCCTGGCTGGCTTTTCAGATCTCAGGCTCTAGAGTAGCTGAGAAGCTAGGATTATAGGCATGACTCACCAGTCCATCACTGCCTGGCTTTTTTAACCTTAGTTTATTTAGCTCTTGAGCCACATCTTTAGCCCTTTCTTCTGCCTGCCTATCTATCTATCTATCTATCTATCTATCTATCTATCTATCTATCTATCTATCTATCTATCTATCTATCTCTATATATATCTACAGGGAGCAATTTTAATTTTGATCTATGGTTTCAGAAAGGTTAGTTCATAATGGCAAGGAGGACATGGGAAAGCAGATTAATCATATCATGCCAACTAGAAAGCAGAAATAGCTTGTTCATTTTTAGATCCGATCATAGGCTTTTTCTTGAGACTACAATACTCATGCCTTATCTGTGGAGTATTGGTTAAAGTATATATGGTTATACTTTAGCTTTTTGAAGTAATACTATATTTCTTAATTTTCATACAGAAAATTAAAACAATGAATTTTCATAATGTGAACTTGTGCAGACTCTTTAATAGATACTGTGCCCCTTCTTCAAGGAAGATGACTATAGTCCTAACTTTATCTTAGATTAATTCTGTCTGCTTTTATACTTTACATGTGTATAGTATATTTTGTATCTAGTGTCTTTCACATGTTTTTGTATAATTTGACCATATTGCATTTTGGATGTGGTATTCTATTTTGTCACTATATCATATTTTTTTTACTCCACAGTTGGTAAGATTGAAATAGTTTCCATGTTATAGCTATTACAAATACTGCTGCTCTGAATATTTTTGTTTATGTCTTTTTTGCCAGTCCTGGGGCTTGAATTCAGGGCCTAAACATTGACCCTGAGCTTCTTTTGCTCAAGGCTAACACTCTACCACATGAGCCACAGCACCATTTCTGTGTCTGTGGTACTGAGGAATCTAACCCAGGGTTTCATGCATGCTAGGCAAACACTCTACCACTAAGCCACATTCCCAGGCCTGTATATGTCTTCTACCACTGCACATATGTAGCTATAGTAGATACTGGCCTGTAGTTTTCCAAAGTGGTAAACCTACTATGTTTCCACATGTGCTGTGTATTTCTTCTGATGTTCCACATTCTTCCCAGTGCTTGGTATTGTAGGCCACTCTTAAATAATTGAAATATATAAGTGGCTTATGCTTGTAAACCTAGCTCCTCTGGAAGTTGAGATCTGGGGATTGTGGTTCAAAGCCAGCACAGGTAGGAAACTCTATAAGACTCTTCTCTTCCTGCAAACAAAGCAGGAAGTGGAGCTATGGATCAAGTGGTAGAGTACTATCCTTGAGCACATAAAGCTCAGGGACATCACCTAGGCCCTGAGTTTAAATCCCTGGACTGGCACAAAAATAACCTACAAAATATGCAAATGCCTTTTCCCAGTATTGTAGTAATGACATAGTATGTTGATTTCTAGGGAAAGAGCATTATTAGTGGGAGTTTAGAGGTCTTAGAATTCATTAGGAAGAAGACAATGGATATAATAGCAGAAGGGTATCCTGGATTTAAAATGACCAAGGGTCTGATGAACTGGAATTCTATACTGTCTCAGGTACTGTTACCTTTACTGATTTGATTGCTCTTTTCTGTTTGCTTGTTTTTTTTAATTTGAATTTTTGCTTTTGTTACCTTGGAACTTGGTTAGTGTTTCCTTGTATAGATTTTCAATGCTTTATAAAATTAAGGCTTTTATTTATGGGTTGGATGTGCAGTGAGAGCTCTAAGGCTTAGACAAAAGGCCAGCTCTTTTCTTTCTCTAGTAGCCTCTGTCAGTGCAGTGTAAAATCCTGAGCACTATGAAGATTACTTATTATGTTATGAAATCACTTTTGGAAATGAATGTGGCTCCTTGGGTGATGATGTCTAGCAATAAGTTATGTTTGTTTCTTTTTTTCCATGTAGCTCCTGATCCTTAGTGAGTTTGATTTGCCATAACAAGAATGAAGGACAGCACTCTATACTGGAGCTTGTCTCAGCTTTGCTTCTCTCCACTCTTAAAACTTACCCTTGAGCTCTTACTATTTGCTGCATCTTTGTTTCCATCTCTTTTTAGGTTCTATAAGAGGCAAAGAAAGAAGAGCTAAGAACCTCCAATGAGGTAGCCATGGAAACAAATAAGAAAACTCATTATGGTCTACTCTTTGATGAACTTCAAGGCCTTCACATCTAGAAGCTCTGGAGATGATTTCCCAAGAAAGTAAAAAAATGGTAATTCCAATCCCAAACTCCCAGCTGAAGAGAGTCTTCAAACAAGAAACATTGCATGGTTTCTTTTCTCTTTTTATATTTTGAAGATGAAATGTATCTCCGAAGAAGGCGTAGGTCTCTGTAAATGTTATAACAAAAGAAAAATATCCCTTAATGTTTAATTGTTAGAAAAAATATTGAGTAAGTCAAATGTTATTTCTTTAAAATTATAGAAAAAGAACAGAATAATGAAGAGGTCTTAACACTGCATATCTTTTTCTTTCACCTTAGTCTTTCATTTTCTGTTTTTTTCTTCAGTGTCATGGGTTTTAGCTGTCAAAAAGCATGTTAACAGCTACTAATTTGTATATAATTTCCTGTTAGTTAATCTGCTCTTATAATCTAAGCCATTTTCGTTTTTTTGTCAGTTGTGGGACTTGAACTCTGGGCCTGTGCGCTCTCCCTCAGCTCTTCAGCTCAAGGCGAGTGCTCTACCACTTGACCCCCAGCACTATTTCTGGTATTTTTTCTGGTGTTTTATTGGAGATAAGAGTTTCATGGCTTTTCCTGCCCAGGCTTCTAAGCCATGCTTAAGCACTGATGATTTTCAGTTATCTCTGGCCTATATTACTTTTAGAAATGCAGAGTCAATTTCTACCTTCCTATAATATCTACCTTATTGTGTTATACTTATTAAAAAATAGCTCTGGCTCTAATCCTAGCTCAGGAGGCTGAGATCTAAGGTTAGCTGAAAGCCAGGCCAAGCAGGTTATCTCTGATAAATCACTCAGAAAGCTGGAAGTGGCGCTGTAGCTCAAGTGATTGAGCACTAACCTTGAGCACAAAGTGCCTCAGGGATAGCACCCAGGCCCTGAGTTCAACACCTAGGACCAACACACACACACACACACACACACACACACACACACACATACACACACACACACTCACTCACTCACACATGTGCATGCATGCACACACAGAGCTGTGTTGGCAGTGAGCTGTTCAGTTTTTTTCTCCCTCTAAGATTTTTTTTATTATTTCCACAATATTTTATTATCTTCATTCAGGTGAAATCTGTCCTTAATTCTCCAGTAGAGAAGAATTAGAGGCCATCATACTTGAATTAGAACTACTCAAAGAAGCGTTTTCCTAGCAGAATTTGTGAGGAAGAGGAAGAAGAGAAAAATGGTAATATGACAATTCAGTATCTGAGTGGGAATTTATATGTATTTATTTGTATTTATATGTAGTGTTTTGCCTTTGAAATAAATTACTCCAGTTTACTGTGTGTGTGTGTGTGTGTGTGTGTGTGTGTGTGTGTGTGTGTGTGTGTGTGTGTGTGTGTGTGTGTGTGTGTGCTTAAAGTTAGGGCTATATGAGTTGAGCCACACTTCTACTTCCAACATTTTTTGTGACTAGAGGTAAAAGTTTCATGGAGTTTTCTTTCTAGACTGGCTGATCCTCAGATCTCAGCCTCCTAAGTAGCTAGTATGACAGGCGTAAGCCACCAGTGCCCTGTTTTTCACTCCCTTTTGCAGTGAAAATTTTCATGTAGAATCCTTTTTGCAACTTTCCCCCTGTCTAGGTGTTCAGACATGTCAGCCTCTTGCCTATGTCTTTTTTTTCCTGCCAGACTCCTCTTAGCATCCCCTAGACTGATATTGTTCATATACCCCTGCCACTGTTTACAGTTAAAGAGTGCTCTTGTCAGAGTTTGTCCTCAGTTTGTCTGACATTTCTTTATATCTGTGGATATTTCATCTGTGCCTCTTGACTTGTGGGACCCTTAATCCCATCTTGAATTGAGGCAGAAAAGGTGGTAGTACCTAAAATGTGACTGATAGTCTTCCCCTTCCCCACCCTCCTCAATTTAAAGCCTGAATCTCTTAGGAAATATGAATGTTGATGCTGCTCATTGTTAAGTAATTAGGTAATTTGGCAGTTTATACAAAATGTAATTCCTGGACAAACAAATCTTAAGGGTTTAATTAGAAATCTTAAAATTTAATTAGAAATATTTCTAACACATGTTCTTTGCTAATTAGCTATTTTAAGAAAGTGGAATCCGATGAATTCAGTTTTGTCTTTCCTTTTTTGGGGGGTCTGGTCATAGGACTTGAACTCAGGGATTGGGCATTGCCCTAAGCTTTTTTTGCTCATGGGTAGTGCTTACCACTTGAAGCACTGCACCACTTCTGGCTTTTTCTGAGCAGTTTATTGGAGATAAGAGTCTCACAGACTTTCCTGCCTGGGCTGGCTTCAAACCACAATTCTTAGATCTCAGCCTCCTGAATTGCTAGGTTACAGGTGTGTGCCACCAGTGCCCTGGCCATTTTAACTACTTGCTTTGCCATGGAATGCCATTTTCACTCTGAAGTATAGGTGGTCACAGAGACTAGAATTCTGTTTAGTGAACATTTCTTGAAAGTGAATGAAATAAGCCTTTATGTCAAGAAAAGCAACTATGTATGAGTCATGATAAACATTCAAACTAAGTTTTAATTTTGTAGAACATGTTTATTGCTTTGTTGAGCTTTATAGTTTCCCAGTGCAGTTTTAGACTGCTGATGAAATCTGTGTTGATAATCACAGCTGTCTTCATTTATTACAGGACAGTTTGTCAACATTTGGAAGATTCATATAACTCAGAATGATTATTTTCCCATCATTTAATGTGTGATGTTAGCAAATCATGCATGGGCAAAAAAAAAGACTAATGGATTTTAATTTAATACTTTCAAGCAGAAAATCATATGGTATACCTTCAGGCTCAATGCTCTGTATCTCATTACAACTAAACTTTAAGAGATGACTAGTTTAGTTTTAGTGTAGTATTAAGGAATATGCAAGCATTAACTTTACTTATAATCTGATAATGCTACTAAAATACTTCTTCCCTTTCTAACTAAGTGATTTTGTAAGGTAGATTTTCTTCATATACTTAAAACAATATATCCCAACAGACTGAGTGTAAAAGCAGATAAGGGAATACAAGTGTCTTTCACTAGGCTAAATGATAAAGATTTATTAAAGATGTAAAACAGTGGCATTGTTCCTCTGAAATTTTATCTTTTTGGAAAATATAGTTATTTTTCTATAAATGTATATTAACAAGTAGTGTGTTTTTTTCTTAAGTTTACCAAACTACCATAAGCACTTCAGTTCTAATTTTTCTTTTGTTTGGGTTGTGAAACTAGGACTTGAACTCAGTGCTTGATGCATTGCTCATTGGCTGAGTTCTACTTTTAATATATCTGTTTCTCTCTCATGTGTGTGTGTGTGTGTGTGTGTGTGTGTGTTTGTGTGTGTGTATTCCCTATTTTTAAAATTTATTTATTTATTTTTATTTACTTCTTTATTTTTTCGTTGGTTGTAGTGCTTGAACCTTGGGCTTGGGCACTGTCCCTGAGCTCTTCAGCTCAAGGTTAGCACTCTACCACTTGAGCCACAGCACCACTCCAGTTTTCTAGTGGTTTATTGGAGATAAGAGTCTCACGAAAAAAAAATTAAAAAAAAAAAGAGTCTCATGGACTTTCCTGCCTAGGCTGGCTTTGAACCATGATCCTCAGATCTCAGCCTCCTGAGTAGCTAGGATTACAGGTGTGAGCCACCAGCACCTCACTAAATTTACTTATTTTTGTGCCAGTATCTAGGTATTGATCCTGAGTTGCAGTCTACCACTTGAGTCATGGTGCTGCTTCTGCCTTTTTCTGAGTAGTTTATTGGAGATAAGAGTCTCATCAACTTTCCTGCTCCAGCTTGCTTTTAACAGCAAACCATAGAGCTCAGTTTCCTGAGTGAGTAGCTAGGATTACTGGTGAGACTACCAGTTCCTAGCTCTACTTACATTTTTAATTAGCTCTTTGGGGACTCTCAAAATTTTAAGAGTATTTAGAGGTCCTGAGACTACCATGCTTGAGAGCTGCCAGATTAAATTTTTCCAAATGTTAGTGCTTTATAAGGTGGCTCTGATCTGTTGATCTTTTACTTCTTTGAACTGTCAGTGTGCTTGCCACTGATATCCTCTAAACCTCCTTTTTTTTTTTTAAATTTCTAATCTACTGTAAAATAACTAGTCTTCATTTTTTTTTTCTTTTTTTTTGTCGGTCATGGGGCTTGAACTCTGGGCCTGGGTGCTGTCCCTCAGCTCTTCAGCTCAAGGCGAGTGCTCTACCACTTGAGTTACAGCGCCACTTCTGTAATCTACTGTAAAATAACTAGTCTTCAATTTTTCTATGGAGAGAGTAAACATCTATCGCTGAGTGAGGGACTTTCCTTAATCTTTAAGGGTGGATTTTATGCAGACTGGGATGTTTTCTTTTTCGTTTAATTGTCTTTAGCATTGTGTTTTAAGAAGTCAAACTGGATAGTTGTTAAAATCACACTAATAAATGACAGTATATGTAAAAGCTTAACTCCTTATTAGAAAATGTTTTCTGACCAGGTGCTAGTGTCTCAGGCCTGTAAACCTTGCTACTCAGGAAGCTGAGATCCTAGGATCTGGGTTTGAAGCCAGCTCACCAGCAAAGTCTTGTGAGACTCTGATCCCCAATTAACTACCAAAATCCCAAAGTGGGCTGTAGTTGAAGTGATAGAAAGTTAGATTTGAACTGAAGAAGCTCAGGGACAGTACCCAGATCCTGAGTTCATGCCCCTGGACTGGCACAAAAAAAGAAAAAAGAGTTTTTTGAACATACATTGTTAATGTTGTTCTGAAGTATTGAGAGGGCAGCTAACCATGAGGGCTTTGGAGTTATCCACGGTGTCAAAATGAAGATCTGTCATTTACTAAAGCCATGTGACCTTGAAAAGTTCCTAGATACTGAGCTGTTCTCTCACCTATAATACCTTACAGGTTGTTAAAATAAGTACTAAATGAAATACTGTATTCAGTATGTGGCACAGTAGTCATAACCAAAAGATGGTAATTATTTTCATGATCCAAAGATATAAGTACATAGATAAAAAATCTGCCTTTTAGAAGTCTTATCTTAGGAAACACATAAAGCCATTGTGCCACATTGTGCCTCTTGTGCCACATGCTTGCTCGGCAAGCACTCTAGTGCTAAGCCACATTCCCAGCCCGAATTCCATTTTCTTTATACACTATCTGCCTCACACTCTCCATGCATTATTCTTTAATGTGATGCAAAGAGCATTGAGAGTGGAGGGCCAAGGTTTAACTCCTAATCTTTGCTATGAGATCTTGAGGAAATCCTTGATCTCTTCCAGCCTTCCTTATCTTTATCACTGAAGTGTGATAATGCCCACTTCTCTTATAATCCCATTAAGAACATCCATTGACATAGTATACACAAAAAGATTCTGTAAGCGTTCATATTCCTTGCTCAGATAAATTGTTATGAATATTTCTGCTGCTTTCACTCCTTTTCCTTTTCACCTCTCTTGTGATCCTCAGCAGTTTGCTGGAATATTTTTCGTGTGTGACTGACTTTGGTTTTTTTTCAGGGGATGAAGATTTTTCTGAAGAGATAACAGAGCTGTTTTCCCAGCTGCACATCTCCTGCAAACCAGACAAACTTGCCAGAGTAAGTTATTACTTCTTGGTGATTTTGATTTATTTATTTGTAACACTTTAATGGATAAAACTGAGATAGTGACCATTTATCATATGGAAATAACACCCTAGGGCAAAGCTTTGCTCTTTGTTGGTGACATGAGCTGTATGCATGTCCAAGATCAGAGTGGGTAAGGAGGTTCTATATCCAGGAAAATATTTAATAAAACATATATTCGGTTGCCTGTTTATGGGTTGCTTTTTCCTTTTATGCCTACTTATCCCAGTCTTGAGACATTCTATAAACCAGTAAGCACCAGGCACACAATGCTTCCTGGACAGAAGGAGCTGATGGCTGTGTAAGTCAGCATGTCCTGTTCTCGCCTAAGTCCTAGGGTAAAGAATGTAACACTTGATCTTTTATTCTTATCCCCTAATGCTTGCATTCTCCATGAAGCCTTCTCACACAACTTCTCAGGAACTCATCTTCTGCAGTCCAAATGTATCTCTTCACTATTCAATCTAGTATTGTTTAAAAATGGTCAAATTCAGGGCTGGGAAGGTGGCTCAGTGGTAGAGTGCTTGCCTTGCATGCATGAGGCCCTGGGTTCAATTCCCCAGCACCACATAAGCAAAAAGAAAAAAAAAGCCAGAAGTGGCGCTGTGGCTCAAGTGGTAGAGTGCTAGCCTTGAGTTGAAGAGCTGAGGGACAGTGCCCAGGCCCAGAGTTCATGCCCCATGACTGGACCACCCCTCCCCCAAAATGGTCAAATTCAGGAAAAGTCTCAAAAAGAATATAAATGATATTTGTGTGGTTTTTATGCAAATTCACTATGGTTCACATTTTCCTTCATTTGCTTAATCACTTGTGTTTCCATGTGTGTTCCCTGTGTGCATGCATATTTGAGATTAACTTGCATATATCATAGCCCTCTATTCCTACATATTTTAATCTTGATCTCCTCAGGATATAAATTATTACATAGCCACAGTATAGTTATCAGCTTCAATAAATTAATCACAATGCCATACTTTTGCTTAATTTTTTGTCTTTTTCCAGTTTTGCCAAAGGATTCAATTGTATTCTTTTTTTTTTTTTTTTTGTCGGTCATGGGGCTTGAACTCTGGGCCTGGGCGCTGTCCCTCAGCTCTTCAGCTCAAGGCAAGCGCTCTACCACTTGAGCTACAGCGCCACTTCCGGTTTTCTGGTGTTTTATTGGAGATAGGAGTCTCAGGTTTCTCCTGCCCGGGCTGGCTTTGAACCACGATCCTTAGATCTCAGCCTCCTGAGTAGCTAGGATTACAGGCGTGAGCCACCAGCGCCTGGCTTCAATTGTATTCTTTATCACTTTTTTTCTCCAGTACTAATACCAGTACATGATCTTGAATTATATGTAGTTGTGTATACTTGATCTCTTTTAGTCTAGAATAATTTCTCAGCTTTTCCTTACCTTTATAACATTAGTATTTTTGAACAACACAAGCACCCCCTTCCCTTTAGTAGTAAAGATGACAAGTATGAGTCAGTGCAGCCTGGCAAATGCAGAGTTCTTGAGTATTAAATATGTTATCATTTATATAGACCTCTTACAATGTATGAGGCTCATTGTAAATAATACTCAGTGTTGATAGAAACGAGTCTAGTATCCTAAATATACATGTAGATGTTCAGTAAGCAAACATGTCTCTTAACCCTTATTCTAGGTAATTTTCTAGATTTAGGGAAATAATGATGAGAAGGACATAGAAAAATCACAAGAATGAAAGAAATCATGTTTTTAGCTCACTTCTTCATCGGGCAGTTGTTTGTTTGAGGATTTGTTATTGGGGGGTTTAGTTTTTTGAGTTCTAAGTATATTTTAGATATGAGATCCTTGTCCATTGTATGGATAGTGAAGATCTTCTCCCAATCCATGGGCTTTCTATTGATCTTTCTAGCTATGTCCTTTGCCTTGCAGAAGCTCTACAGTTTCATGCAATCTCATTTGTCTAATCTTTCTTTGATTTGTTGTGTTTCTGGGTCTTTATTAAGAAAATTTTGGCCTAGAGTATTCCTATTCCTTTCTGTAAGGTTTTCAGGGTTTCTGCTTTTATTTTGAGGTCTTTGATCCATTTGGAGTTGATTATGGTACAGGGTGGCATATACAGATCTAGCTTTAGTTTTCTACAAGTGTTTAACCAATTTTGCCAGCACCATTTACTGACAAGGCTGTCTTGCTTCCATTCTATTTCTTTAGCTCCCTTGTCAAAGATGAGGTGGCTATAGATCTGTGGGTTCATTTCTGGGTCTTCAATCCTATTCCAATGGTCCTCAGCTTTGTTCTTGTGCCAGTACCAAGCTGTTTTTATTACTATGGCTTTGTACTAGAGTTTGAAATTTGGAATTGATATTCCTCCAGCGCTGTTTTTTTCTATTAAGGATTGTTTTTGCTATTTGGGGTTGCTAACTTCTCTAGCCATAAAAGAAATGCAAATCAAGATAATGTTGAGATTCCACCTAACAAAGAAGGAAGCAACAGTGCTTGATAAGAAACGTACTCATTATCTTGCCTATGTAATTGTAACCCCTCTATATGGTATTTTCACAATAAAAAAAATCTGGTAACAACATGCTGGAGGGGATGTAGCCAAAAGGGAACCCTACTGCGTTGTTGGTGGGAGTGTAAACTTGCTCAACCACTCTAGAAATCAGTATGGAGTCTTCCTCAAAAGACTCCACATAGGGGCTGGGAAGGTGGCTTAGTGGTAGAGCGCTTGCCTTGCATGCCTGAGGCCCTGGGTTCGATTCCTCAGCACCACATAAGCAAAAAGAAAAAAGCCGGAAGTGGTGCTGTGGCTCAAGTGGTAGAGCGCTAGCCTTGAGCTGAAGAGCTGAGGGACAGCGCCCAGGCCCAGAGTTCAGGCCCCACGACTGGACCAAAAAAAAAAAAAAAGACTCCACATAGAGTTCCCCTATGACCCAGCAATCCCTTTTTTGGGCATTTTCCCAAATGATCACAGAGAAGGTCATACCAAAGATATCAGCACAACCATGTTTATTGCAGCTTTATTCCTCATAGCTAAGATATGGAACCAACCCCAATGTCCCTCAGTAGATGAATGGATCAAGAAAATGTGGTATGTATATGCAATGGAATTCTATGCCTCCATCAGAAAGAATGATACCACCCCAATTTTTAGGAAATGGAAAGATTTGGAAAAAATTGTATTAAGTGAAGTAAGCCAGGCCCAAAGAAACATAGGTCCGATGGTTTCCCTTGTTTGCAAAGACTAGTATATGTCTAGGACAAGCAGAGAAGGTCAAAGGCTATGTACATATGACCATATGTGATGATGTTGAACAAAATGTACCCCAAGATAGGGACACAAATGTTTTTTTCTTTCTTGCTATTGTTTTTAATGTACTTATAATGTACTATGTGAGTCTTTTGTATGTCCTTCTCCCACGGTATAACCCCTGTTTTCACTGTATGTGATTCTGGTGTTCTGCATCTTGTATATACATTTTTGTGATTTGGGGAAGTGAAGGGGTATAGTGGAATGCTTAAATGGGGATGCACGTTAACCCATTGTGACGATGAGATGTACAGGACACTATGTTGAAAATGAACTTTACAATTTTGGGGAAGCGGGGGAGGAAGGAGTTGCGAGGAGGGGAGGGACGTGATGGGAGTGGAAACACAAAGCAGTAACAATGCTCAATAGGAAATGTACTCATTACCCTGCTCATGGAACTGCAACCCCTCTGTACTGTATTATTACAATATAAATATATATAAAATCATATTAATAAATATTTTGAGGTCAATAATTGCTATGTAGTTGATAATTTCCCCATGTTGTCCCCATGTGGCAATTCTTGGAAAGCAGTTTTCAAATAATTTTGGGTATTGCAATGTAGGCTATAGCAGAGACATTGGCCTGATTGTCTGTATACTAATGATGTAGGCAAAATTGCAATGGAGCATGTGGTTCTGGGTATGATTTTTAAAAATTTTTGTTTATTTTTTTTTACTTTTTTCCTTCCAGGCTAGCAGGGTTCACACCTTGAACCACAGCTTAATTATCCACTTTCTTTTTTCTTTGTTTCTTTTTGCCGATCTTGGGGCTCGAACTCTTCTGCCTGGGCACTGTCCCTGAGCTTTTTTTGCTCAAGGCTAATGCTCCACCACTTCAGCCACAGTGCCACTTGCAGCTTTTTCTGAGTAGTTTGTTGGAAATAAGAGTTTCTTGGACTTTCTTGCCTTGCTTCAAACTGTGATCCACATATCTCAGCCTCCTGAGTATGAGTAGCTAGGATTACAGGTGTGAACCACTGGCACCTGGCTTATTTTTCCTTAGGTTTTGGTGCTGGTCCTAGGGCTTAAACTCAGGGCTCAGAGAGTGTTGCTGAGTTTTTGGCTTAAAGTCAGTAGTCTCTACCATTTGAGCCAAAGCTCACCTTTTGCCATTTTTTTTTGTTCTTTGTACTAGTCCTAGGGCTTCAAAGTGGCCTGGCCAGTCTCATACTTTTTTCCCCCATAAGTTAGCAGGCACTACAACTTTAGCAAAAGTACAACTTCTGCCTTTTCATTTTTGGTTGGTTTTTGTTTCTTTGTTTTTTTTTTTTTAATGAAAATCCTAGGGCTTGACCTGCCAGTCTTCTTGAGGTGTTAGGTCACCCCTCTCCGCAGTCCCCACTTTAGGATACAAGCTTTACAACTTAAGCCATAGCTCATCTTCTTCTTCTTTTTTGGTGATTAATGAGGTAATGTCCTATGGCCCTAGCTATTCAGGATCTCAGTTTGAAGCCAGCCCAGGCAGAAAAGTCCTTGTAAGACTCCTATGTCCAATTTACCACTCAAAACCTGGAAGTTGTGCTATAGCACAAGTGGTAGAGCACAAGCCTTGAGTACAAGAGGCTCAGGGACAGCACACAGGTCCTGAGTTCAAGCCCCATAACTGACAAAAAATACAAAAAACGGAAGAATACTATAGGAAGCCAAGATGACTATACAGAGTCTTGAAAGTTGAGAGCCAAGGTTCAAAGCC